TTTATATAATCACAAATCTGAGGACTCACACACAAAAACAAATGCAAAGAAATTTCAAAGAGGAAAACTTTGACTCATCTTTTCAGACCCCGTCTCACCAAGGCTCAGTGCTATCTGCATGAGACGCATCACTATTAGTGTCTCCAGAAAGAGAGCAGCCACCATGCGGACTAGATGGTGATGACGACCGGGCCGTGGCACTGGACACCAGAGCACCTGACGACTCCCTCCCCAACACCAGCACCTGCCACTTGTGCATAGTCCTTTGCTTTCAACATGGAACAGAGGAATTTTGGCCCCTCTTCCCACAGTGGTTACTGCTTAGCTAAGCTCAGGCTTCCTGTGCAAACACAGTACTGTCCACTCAACATGCCCACAGCCACTCTTCTCAGGGGCAAGGGGCTGCAACTGTGGCTGGCCGCTTCAGTCCACAAGACGCACTTCACCACCACAGTGCACCGGGAACAGCTGCGGCGAGGCCACGCACCACCTCGTGGGCAGCAGAAGGCACTTCAGACACGTTCTGAGAAATCGTGACCTGAAAATAATGCCACCTTACAAGTGATAAAAATAAGTAAAAGGTGAACCAAAAAAGTCACCCAAGCAACGAGGCCTTGGCTGGCCCTGAGCTTTCAACACCGTCGGGTCACCCAACTTCTCCCCGCTTCACTGTGGCTACTGTCACCCTTGCTGCCATTTGCTGTGGAGCACAGGTGCAACCCAGAGAAGTGTGGGGAGAGCCAGCAGCGGTGCCGGTGAGGAAGAGGCACAGCAGGACAGTGGCCGGGGACAGCTGGCTGGGCACACGCTCTAGCCTCCCGAGCCACAGAGACTAGACCAACGTGTGCTGCACCTTCAGGACCTCCACGTTCAGCACCAGGTGAGGCTCGGGTTCCTCTGCCCAGCTGAACTCGCAAGAGATGCAGGTGCCGGCTGGAGACACCCACCTGGCATTGCAGCCCTCTGAGGCCCAGGGCATCTCTGGAAGCCCTGTACAGGCAGCAAGGCCTGCAGCTTGGGAGAGAGAGCACCCTGGGACGAGCACCTGGGAGAATAGGGCAGAGCCCCACAAAGGCCACCCCTTCCTGAATTTCCAGAGCCACTACCAGATGCCCAGCCTAGCCCTCYGGACAATTCTGAAAGCATCTCATATCCAACATTCAATCCAAACATCAGGCCACTTCTCACAGCCCCCATTCATATTAACTAATTTTTTATTCACTTTCTTGCTAAGATTTCCATTTTTATTTTCAAGCAAACTTGAGAGTCAATCCTGAGCACAGACATGTGCCTACACGCTCTTGAACCAGCCACTTCCCGTCCCCAGTGGACACAGTCGTTGACTAGGAGACCTCCGTGGGCTCTGCTGGGAGAACTGAACCTGGCCAGTGGTTCAGAGCTGCCCTCGAAGGGCTCCCTCCGTGGCCGACAAGGTCAGCAGTCAGACACGGCCACGCCCGACACCATCTGTGCTGGGAGCACTGTCTCACTCAGCGGCACTGGAAAGGAGGGGAAGTCAGTACCACTTATTATCACTCACGCAGAGGATAAACTGGTGTTTAGTACACAAACTGATTTTAAAAACAATTACCATTTACATTTCTTCTAAGCTAATAAGATTATATTATCTTAATATTAAAAAGTAAGCAATAAACTCCCACTAACCAATGTTCTCCCCATCCCAACCCATTGTAGAGAACTGACATTCTCTATGGTTCTCTAAATATTCAGTGTCTAACCTTTTTGTTTTTGTATGAACGAATACATCTCAAAACAAAGGGAGAGGTGATTTCTGGATCAGTCTCACCTACAGTCCTTACAACTCTGCCATTTCAACAGGCCCGGCAGTGACCACTTCGACATGCTCTTCTGAGCAGATGGAGCCTCGGCTCTCCTTCCCCACCCAGAGGGCTGGGGGAGACCACGAGCTCACTTGCCTACACTGTTCACTTCCTCACGAAACACGACACAACACGAAGTAAGTGCCACAGGCAGCAGTATCTTTTAGGTTAACTGAAGCTAACAAACCATTTAGTGGAACTGTGTTATACAGCTGAAGGGCAAATAGATAAAAATTCTGCCATCCAGGGAAAACAATCTTAAATTGAAACAGGTACGGTCCTCCTGGCAGAGCACCACACCCTGTCCCTGCCAGGTGCAATGACACACATCTGTAATTCCAGGGAGTCACTCGAGAGACTGAGGCAGGAGGATGGCAAGTTCCAGGCCAGCATGGCAACCGAGTAAGGCCCTGTCTCAAGATAAAAAACAAAAAAGGGCTGGGATGTGTCTCAGTCGTAAATTGCCCTGGTTTATTCTCTTTGTCCAAAAAAAAAAAAAACAACAAAAGAAAGCCTCCAATCCCGAGCAGGTGGACTTCCCCTGAACTGCCCACTGGCATGATGGGGCCGGGCCGGGTCCTGACGAGAGCCACTGAACGCTCGCTGGAGCCACGCCACCCTCCACACTGAGGACCACCACGGGCAGCTCTCAGGAGCACCTCAGGGGCCCCATGTGCACTAGCCTCAGGGTTGCAGTGGATAGACGCATCTATATCACCACAGTTAACTTCTGCTCATGAAGACGCTTGCCACAACCAACTTCAAAATACTTCTCAAAATCTAACATAAGCACATTAATCCCCCGTAAAAGGAACATGGGCAATAAATAATTTTTTGGAAAAAGAAAGACAAATAGGAAAAAAACAAAGTGTTCACCCTCATCAGTAATTTTAAAAGCATAAAACATTTAAAATGAACTTAGACTTATCAAAAACCTAATTCACTTGAATGTAAGATCCAATTGTCAGCAGAAACAGCAATACCAACACCTTCCACAGAGTGAGAGCTGGGCTCGTGGGGATGTGACCACAAGCAGCCTGACCGTGCGCCCCACGGCTGGAACACAAGTGCCGAGTGCAGTACACAGAAGTGGAGCTGGAGCCCACGCCTGTGAGTCTGCAGTGATAAAACAACAGTGCAGCCAAGGCACTTCTGTGGTCAGAAGGTTCTGGAACAAGTTCACTGACAAAAGGAAAGGACCGGCGAGAGAAGCGAGAGTCAAGCTCAGCACGGTAAGACCCACTCATGTACAGTTACTAACTGGACAGACACCAGAGGGGCATATTCATGTACAGAGAAAATAGACCAGAAGATTTATTACTTGTCTCCAAGTGAAGAACAAAACATGGGTCTGGGGTTGCACTCAGTGATAGAGCGCTCGCCTAGCACGCATGAGGCACTGGGTCTGATCCTCAGCACCACACAAAAATAAAGATATTGTGTCCACTTAAAACTAAAAAGTAAATATTAAAAAAAAAAAAAAAACCCACACTGTTGATTATTTGCAATGGTGAGAGAAATGCGATCCCCACCATCAGCACCTAAAGGTGCTCTGGAGCTCAGATCCCTAAAACCAAAGCACCCGAGATGCTGATACTGATGAAGAAGAGCAGCACAGGGACAAAGTCTCTGCACGACTGGGTCCATCTAAATCCACAGCAAGACGCTGGCTGGTTGGTGGGCGGCCGAGAACCCACTCCTCGACCCTACTGACAAGAGCGGAGGAGGAGGACAGCAGAACTGCAGGGAACGCGACATCTCGCAGGAAGAGCCAGTGACAACAGTGGCAGTGCTACCTGTGGAACTGCCCAGGGCAACTGCACCCCGGGGAACACAGGGCAAGCAGGGCCTGTGTCCAGGGCCATCTTTGGAACCCTGCCCCTCCTCAGCTACTCTGAGGACCCACCACGAGCCCTTCTGCACAGCAGCTTCAGGCGCCCAGGGAGACCCTGGCCAGGCAGGTCCCCGCTGCCTGCAGCCTGCCCAGGCGTCACTGTCTGGGATTCTAGAGTCTAGCAGAGACACTGAGATCTTCAACTCCTTTTTTATTTTTAATAACTGCTTTTCACCAACCCAAGGGCTTATTCACTTTAGTTTTCTTTAGATGTATTGACTAAAATAATTTCTCAAAGGTTCTTGCCAAACCAAATTCAAAGCAAAGATTTCCCAAGTATTAGCAACTGAAGTCATTCAAGATTCGTGACATTAGAACAATGTGACTGACGCCTCACATTTTTACTGTGAACGTTTCCATGTCCTGGTTTATGGAAAAATAATGCACTAAATAAATTCCACAAGAGAACATAAATAAGACCCTAAGTGAATTTTAAACAAGTCAATGACTTGTTAAATGGCTTTTCTTCCTTAAAACCGCCACTGTTTCAGCACAGTGGAGCACACATGTGATCCCAGCTACTTGGGAGACTTGAGTCAGGAGCATTTAAAGTTCCAGACCAGCCTCAACAACTTAATAAGAGTCTGTCTCAAAAAAAAAAAATTAAAGAGCTAGGGATGTGGCTCAGTGGCAGAGTGGGTTCAATGCCACCCCAAACTGCCTACCAATATAGTTAAAGTGTTTAACTAGGTAACAGTTGACAAACTGCCTACCAATATAGTTAAAGTGTTTAACTAGGTAACAGTTGACAAA